CAGATCTTGAGTCTTTCTATGGGACGGGCTGAAAAGTTGGGCGTGGCGCTTGTGTTTGGCACTGGAGGCTTGTACGTGTCTGGGAGTTCCGTCAAAGGCCCATTGCTAACTTGCTAGTGTCACTTTCGCGTCTATATATCGTGCCACCACAATCGCACGATCCGCAAACAACCCCGATCCAACCTGGGGTCCCGTACCCGCGACAATATGGTCGGTGATAGAAGCAAATGCGGGTATCGTATGTGCTTGCCTTCCTATGCTGCGCGCTCCATTCGTTCGCTTTTTCGGGCCACTTTTCGGCTCGGGCATAGGCACCAAGAACACTACGAAGCGTCAATCGTATCCCATGGGCTGGAAGAGCAACCATGGGCCGGCTGGAACCGGCAACAAGAGCAACGTGTCTGGCAAAAGTGCCTCTGAGCGAGAAAGCGAAGACGATGCACTGCCAGCGAGTAGGCTGGGCGAGCTTGATCGCCGGGGCAGTGGTATATTTGTCACGAACGAGTTCAGTATTGAGCGCAACGAGCTACAAAAGCAAGAGACGGACACAAGGTCGTGCGACCAAGACGGCGATACGAATACGGCGGTGAGCGTCAATGAAGAGAAGCCGGGGGGGAAGAGCCCATTCTACCATGTTTGAGATGACCACGCTACTTGTTCGCGCCCAGCGCGGCTGTGTTAGAGCTGGCTCTTCATCAGATACTGCAAATGCCGTCAAACAGACAGGCTGAGCGTTTTCGCCGATGTGCGCAGCCTGATCGTCAGCTCTCCCAATGGAGACAACTTAGTGTGTGTGTGTTTTCGGTCCTATACTAGACGGCCGCTAGCGAAAGCGACGCGCGATTTTCAATGGCCAATTCAGCAACCGCTTGCCTACTGACAGCCGGTCTACTCACATGGCCTCTTGACGAAACATGGCGCGGATGCTGGTTTCCATGCGTCTTCCACGCACACGGTGGTGCAGATGGCTGCCGAGCGTCGCGATGATTTCCTACCGTCGGGGCGACAAAGGAGGATGAGGTCAGGTACGACTGGACAGCCCGCGCGGCCTTGGTAGTGTTACGACGTCTTCCTGGCCCTCCCAGAAACCTAGAGAGCTAGATAGCAGATGCAATGCAACGCACACTAGATCCCAGACACTTCGCGCGCCAGCAAGCAACAGTTTCCGCGTCGTGTTGCCGCAGAGAACCAGATAAGCACCCAAGATGGCTGCACGATCTAGATCGCGAGCCGCAGCAGAAGAGTGAAAATTTGGCAGCCGAATCTGCGGTCGCACGTTGACTCCCAACAAAGAGAGGCCGAGCAGTGCGGCATTTATCTAGCCCTGGCAACGTGTGGCGTCGAAGACACACGAGTGCAGCAGGCAAAGGCGTGGCATGGACTGTCGCAATGCTTGGTTGCGGACAGCGGGCGTGTTCGCGAATGAAGAGCGTGCAGCGAAAGCCAAGACAGGACAGAGACTTGCCGATCGGTGCCCCGCTTCCTCTGCGCCACAGTTCGATATTGGTCTCTCCCCCAGACGTCATGCGCACATGCAGTGAATATCGACTTGACCGCATCCGTGATGTATCCTGATTTTCCTCCAGCTGGCGCGCGCGCTTCTGTGCTCTGCCATCGACATCTCTCGAGCTGAAGCCGCGACGAGCCCCGCCGACATGACGACCAAGAGTACCACCGACTTTGTCGAATCAACCGAGCCTGTCGGAGCCAAGACCAAGGCGCAGGTCCTCACCGACGTCTTCTCTCTCGCGACCCAGTTCAGCACTTGTGTTGAAGCTTTCAACCTCATCCATCCTTCCAAGGACCACGACCATGCGCAGAAGGTTGCGCTTGCCAAGCTCGGCCTTCAGCAGGGCAGGTTGCTGATCTTTGGCGATGCCGTGGGCATCTCTGCGCCGCCCGCGACCATTGCTCGACACATGATCCCCAGCCATCCGGGCATCACGAACCCGGATCCGCATCTGCCAGTCAACTTTGGCGTCCGAGACCCGAGGCTTGACGACGAGGTTATCAATGCAAAGGTGCGCAGGGCCCTGCATGAGATCGCCGGCCGCCCTAGCACTATGTCGCGCGATGAACTGATGAACGTATACGGCCTGAAGAGTCCAAAGACGTTCTCGCGCCTGGAATACCCAGCACTCGACACCAACCGACTAGAAGGCTTCCGCGAGAAGTTTGCCCTCCTCAAGGATCTCCTCGCACAGACGGGCGCGCGGGCGACTCTAAAGCGCAACCTGAGCATGACCACCTCGCATTGGACCGTCAAGGACACCACGCGCTTCAGCGAGTACGTCAAGGTTGTCCGCACCGAAGTCGATGCGCTCATTGATCTCATGGGCGTCAAGGAGCAGGTTGACCGGGGAATCCGATCCGATCTCAAGAGCATGGGCTGGCACCCTGACCTCACAGGGCCAGCAGTGCGGCAAGACTGGGAGAAGCTGCGTCTGATCCGGGAAGCCTGCGTCGTCGATTATCCAGAGTACATCGATGTCATCGACAAAGCCATGTCGTACATCACCGAAGAAGTCAAGGAATCCAATCTCGCCCGAAACCGTGCTGTACTGGGTCTTTCAGAATCCAATGTGGATGCAGCAGGCGCGCGCCGCAAGTCAGACTACGATGTCCGCTCCATTCCGGCTCCTTCGCCAGCCCACGTCGCCGGACTCAAGCCCTCAAAGCCAGAAGCAAAATCCCACATCCAGCTGGCTGCCGAACGTGCCCTGAATCCAAACGCTGGCAAGGAAAAGCGCCCGGGTTGGCTCTCGGCTTTCAAATTCAAGTCGTGGTCCAAGAGCAGCAAAACCGCACACGACAAGCAGCGCTCGAACAGCGTTCCACATACTCCGACCGTTGACCCTCAGCGCTCCCTCTCAGCAGGCGAGGCACCAAATCGCGCCTCGGAAGACTCCAACGCCCTCCAAGCCGTGCGCTCCAAGTCCCTTAGCGCAATCCCCAGCGACAACACACCACAGCCTCCGCCTTCAAATCTAGACTCTCGCGTCCGCAAGCTCAGTCTAGATCACGGAGACATGGCGGGTATCCCGCCCATCCAGGAGAATGGCGGCGAAGTGACTAGTTTCCCAGCAAGAAGCGGGCTAGCTGAGTTCGACGACGATATGGACAAGAACGCGCTGGTGCAGGTGGACACGGCCAAGAGTGAGGGGAGCAAAGATGAACTGGAGAATGTCAAGACCGTGAATAGTTACATTGATCGGCATGATATGTATCCAGCTATAGGTCGCATTGAAACCAAGGATATCAGGAATGTTGCGCATACGCCGGGTCTCTAAGGTCTGGCGCGTATGCTTACGAGGCCAGTCTAGCGAGAGACGGGGAGTAATTTGTAATCACTTAGTGCATTTTGGTTTCAGAGGAAGAGAAGATATAGTTATAGGGTAACTCAGTGTCAGCCTGTAGATGCTGATTGTGTTCCATAGCGAGGAGCTCACGAATGCTTCGCTACAGATTTATCATCATTTCCACGTCGACGGAGTACGTTCAGAGTCATCATTCCATTGTTGAGCTCAACCATGATCTCGCTTACCGAGGGCAGCATCCGAAAGTCGACCAAGTTGGATCACAGCCCCACACATCCATAGATTGAGCCTTTTCTGCTTACCGTATACTTGCAGAGATGCTATGTGGAATGCTAAAGAGGCTCACTTCAACCACAACACCATTTACATACCATCCGTCAAGTCAACACCACCAGACATATGCTCATGCCAGCCTTGTTCTTTCTTTCCCCACGTGTCTACTCAAGAGTACCCGATTGGCAGTTGTTAGGAAGACAGACTACTCGAGCGAACGGCTCTGCATACTCTGGAACGTCTAATGGCGTCACTCGTCAACGCTTACATGCCTTTCGTGAAGACGCTCTACCCATCAAACATGAAGCCATGAGGCCTGGAAGATGGGGTCTCTCTCAATAGCGTTTTGACTTATTCGCGATACCTCATACAATGACCTGAAGTACACAAAAATCTACGAAATGCATCAGACGGGTGCATCTGAAAACGGTCATAGCTGAGGAAGTGGAGACGTTTATAGACACCATGTGCGTTTGGGATGGCTGAACACGGGGCGCTGATATACATCCAACTCTGTATCAAAAGAACTATGTTAACTCGCATGAATGAACCATCATCGCCGCTGAGATGTCCCGCTGTAACGGTCCCTCTACGACCGGCAAGCGATGTCCATGTATTCAGTGCCTCACGCTTCGGCCTCGACCGCACCTTTGCCAACACTACTATTGTCGACAATTAAATCGTATCAACAAATGTCTAAATCCTATTCAAGCGCCTAAGGCGTGGTGAAATCCAGATCTGTCACCGCCAGGGGAAGGGCTAAGTAGTAGCTGACGTCAAGATACCTAATGAAGGGAACAGGCTTCCGCAGAAATAATACGCATAGCTATATTATACCCGTGTTTCTATTATCCGAATAAACATCGTATGTCCTGCAATGCATGCAGCCGCGGGATCTGATAGTGGTGGTGCAGATTTGTTGATTCCCGCACCTCCACCATATGACACACATCAAACGCTTTATCTAGTAGATCCTACTGAGCCACGTGATTGGAAAACGTCGTTGACTTCTCTGTCTTGGCATGGGCTACATTGGGATCCTTCGACACTCACCGTGAAGGTGAGTGCATGCTCTCGTCTTCACCTTCACCTTGAGTCCAGGCAGATCGCTTGTTGACTTTTCTCCCTCGCGACTTCCTCCCCATACTTTTGTCAACCTCGTCTCTCGCACCTTTCTACATTGTTCAAGCTCTTACTCCGCAACGTGAGGGCCAAGGTAGTCATCCCCCAGCCATTCTTCTGCGCGCACGCTCTAACTGGATTTGAAAAAGTTACACGTCGTCGCGCGCTCTTGCGGGCTCGATCGTGTTTTGTTTGCGCCCAGTCAACCTGGCAACAACAGCAAACCGCGTCAACAAACACGTTTCTGGAACAAAATCCACCCGCCACACACCAACAGCCATCGAAACGATGCCGCCTAACGGTCTCTACCGCATGCCGCAGCATCACCTGACTGGTCAAGGCGCCTCAATGAAGCGTCCGTCTTACAACAGCATGGACTTCAAAGAGGACGAGGAGCCGGCACCTATCAAAACCAACGATGGTGCGACGGATGAAGTTGCCGAGGAAGAGAAAGCTAAGAAGAAGCAAGAGAAGGCCGAGAGGAAGGAAGCCAGGAGACTGAAGAGGCTGTCCAAAGAAGCTAAAGCTACCAAGGAGCCCGAGAAGGTAGAAGGGAAGCAAAACACACCACCAGTCGATGCGACACCTACTGTCAAGCTTGCTGCGACTCCTCTCAAGAATGGGAAATATGGTCCACGCGGTCCGTACAAGAAGAGGGAGGTTGGACCCGACGGCACACCAGTTTCTGCTGCGAAGAAGCGCAAGCGAGAGAGCGAGGCCGCAGTCGCTATACCAGCTATCGTACCTACGGAGTCACCCAAGAAGAAGCCCGGACGGCCAAAGGCTTCGGACAAGAAGGATACTGTTGAGTCTAACAAGACGGCGAAGAAGGTCGTCAAGTCTGGCGAGAGCAAGGCTAAGAAGCAGAAACTGGAGAAAGCGCCTGCTGCCTCTGATTTGCAGAAGAGTTCCAACGTCATCAAGACCCCGGTACCAGCGCCCTCCGTCGCAGCGGCTCTGTCTTCTCGTCCGAGGCAGACTCCAGTTCCGCTGCCTCACAAGACAGCCGTCCCGCTTCCTCGAAAGACACCTGTCCCGCTTCCTCAGAAGACACCGGTTCCACTTCCTCAGAAGTCTCCCCATACTCTGAAGGACGGCGTCAGTAAGTCATCGGCTAAGGCGGCCAAGGCGACCAAGGCCGCTTCCGCTCAGTCTGAAGTCCTTGTCACCGAGACTCCTCTTTCGCAGATGAGCCGCACTCCTGCAACCACTCCTCGTGTGTCAGCGATTCCTTTCAGCCTTGCACCGGCACAGTCGTCAGCAGCGACCACAACCAAGAAAACCGAGGAAGCACCTACTGCCGACGAATCGTCTCCCGATATCCCTCTCATGACTATCGCAAGACTTGCCAAAGCCGACAAGCACGTGGTCGGTAGCCAAGGCTCCGTCAACCCACTCACTAACAGCCAAATCGAGAGCTTCACCTCTGCGAACCTCATGAACTTCAAAGAGCCCCTAAACGACGCCCCCAAACCACGCCCCCGAGGTCGTCGCGCTGTCAGCGAAGCAACCAGCACCACGTCGAGCACCTCTTCCTCCACAACCCAAAGTGTTCTGGACATGTATCTGCGCCCTAACAAGCCATACACTCGGCCCGACGAGGAGCTCTCGTCCTTCAGCAAGAAGAAGAAGCATGTTGAGAAGCACACCGAAGCCAGCTTTGACGTTTTCACTACTGCCTTCACCACTTCCCAGCGTACCATCAACTTCACCGAGGAAGCCGAGTACATGGAAGAGTATGACGACTGGCTCTACGACAGCAAAGAAGTAGGTCCCCTTCCTTGCCTACCCCAGTTGACAGGCTGCTCCCCCAAGAGCGAACAGCTGCTACAACTGCAACGCTCCGATGACACCAACACTGCCGCGCTCAAGGTGGTCGTCACAAACGCATTGCAAGTGGAAAAGGCCAACGCCGACATCAAGCGCGCCGAGACTGCATCTACCTTCTTCCGCTACAGCATCTTGACCCGTGTCCCCATGCCTCTTGGTGCGATTGAAGGATCCTGGAAGCTGTACTGCCCCATGTACACCGAGACCCACATCGACAACCACGGTTTCGGCCAGCGCACTCTCAGGGTTTCCTCCATTATTGGTCTGAGCGCCGCATTCGGTGCCCATAGTGCCAGTCTCAGTATTCCATCTCGTTCCTCGCCGTATGCCACTCACGCGTTCCATGCTCCCCCTCACGCATCTTTCCGCATTGTCCAGGCCAAGACAGTTGTCGGCAAACACAACATAGACATCATGTTTCTAGGGAATGGATACTTGAAGCTCAGGGTTGACATGCACCTTTTGACTACGGGTAAGACGGTTGCGGAGAAGAAGGCGGCCAAGAAGGGTAAGCAGGCTAAGATCAAGGCGGGACAGGGTATCTGGGAGTTCCTTGGTGTGCACGAGAAGGCAGTCGATTGGGAGCCCGAGGTCGATGACGTGGAGAAGGAGGGCAGGAGGCTGACTGCAAAGTATGATGGGCGCTAAGGAGAAGCGTGAGGTTGATGGATCGAGTCGGTGATTGATGGGTGTGAGCTATACGCAACATGCATTGTCGGAGGACGAGTGGAGAGTTAATGAGGTCTTCGTGTTGGGGGAATCCTGGGGTAAGAGTTGGGCTTGCCTGTCGAAGGCTACTTGGGCTTCGCAGGAGCTTTGCAGACTGTTACTTACGGTTTTCATGCGCCAGCCGATGAAGATATTCAGCACGGCAAGACTGCACTGTCGGTCGTCCAGACATGAACCGATGATGCCTGTCTATTGCACATCTTTCTTGTACGATACTCACAATAAACATACAAGGCACGTATACTCGCTTCGCTGTGGCGTGACTGTTGCTCTATTCATACTGTTCGCATCTACGTCTACCACTCGTCATTGAACGAAGCAAAAACTCCTAGTCTCATGCAAGAGGTATCAAAACATCCCTTCCTCGCTATCTCTTAAAACACCTACTCCCCAATTTCTTGCTTCTATATGCAGAGTGACTATATTACGCGTTCCTTGACCAGATCAGAGCGGAGATGTGACCGTCCACTGACCCGTCTCAGCGAGTGAGAGGGAGAAGAAGAGGAAGAAGAGGAAGAAGACACCTAGTCCTTCTTCGCCCGGCCGTTTTGCTGTTCGACAAGCTCCAACTTCTCGTTACCCTTTTGGATAAAGAACTTGCGCTCGAGGAATTTGAGACCTTCGTCGATGATGCTGGTTTCATGTTAGCCTTGCTCTTTCGTTGATTCTAACAGACTGTGAGGATGGCTTACATGATAGGCGCACTAATGGCCATGACCGCCTTCCACTCGTTGCCGTCTAGCGGGATGACACTGAAGAGTCCCTGCAAGAACGGAATGTAGAGGAGAGCAAAGTGCAAGGCCATGCTCAAACAGATGGCATAGACGAGCATCATATTTTCCCAGAGCGGCAGTGTCAGCAGACTCTCTGAGCTGCTCAAAGCGTTCATGGCATTGAGCATCTCGATTACGACCAAGATGCTCAAGCTGACGGTTGACGCAGCCTGGGCAGACGAGTTGCTAAACATTTCGCAGCCGATCTCAGGGAACTGGGTAGAGCAGCGGTGGAAGTGGCGGAGCTGGTAGAACGAGATTTGAGGACCGTCGCTATTGAACATGAACCACCACGCATAGCCACCGACAGTTGCGGCACCGACATAGGTACCAATAACCATGTAACGGAAGAACAACCAGCCGCTGATGAGAGGCTCGTCGCGCTTACGGGGCTGGCGCTTCATCACATCGTGGTCCGGAGGGTTGAAGGAGAGAGCGGTGGCGGGGAGACCGTCGGTAACGAGATTGACCCAGAGGAGTTGGACAGGAATCAAAGCTTCAGGCATACCCATAGCGGCAGTCAGGAAGATCGACACGACTTCTCCAATGTTGGACGAAATGAGGTAGCGAATGAACTGCTGAGTGTTGTTGTAGATAGAGCGGCCTTCTTCGACGGCGCCTTCGATGGTAGCGAAGTTGTCATCTACAAGGACCATATCAGCGGCGAGCTTGGCTACGTCGGTTCCGGAGCCCATGGCAACACCAATGTCAGCTTTCTTGAGTGCGGGAGCATCGTTCACACCGTCACCAGTCATAGCGACCACCTCACCGGCTTGCTGAAGGAGGTCGACGAGTTTGGACTTGTGCGTTGGCTCAGTGCGGGAGAAGAGGCTTGCGTGCTTAGCGGCTTCCATCTTTTCAGATTCGGAGAGATCATCGAATTGGCGACCAGTAAAAGACTTGCCAGTAAGATCCTCGTTGGGTCCGAAGACGCCAATCTGACGGCAGATGGACTCGGCAGTGTTTTGGTTGTCCCCAGTGATGACCACGACGCGGATACCAGCAGAGCGGCACTTTGCGATGGAGGCGCGGACTTCAGGACGAGGAGGATCCAACATGCCGACGAGACCGATGAGAGTCATCTTCTGCTCTAGCTGAGTGTACTCCTTGGTGGTCTTCGCCTTCGCCAGAAGCGGGTTCGATTCAACGTCTTCAACAGACGCCACAGCAATGACACGCAGACCGCGATTGCCGTACTCGACAATCTCCTTGTTGATAAGACTGGCCAGTTGCTTGCTCATTGGTATCTTCTTGCCGTTCTTGCCAACGACGACATTGGTGCAACGATCAAGAATTGACTCGGGGGCGCCCTTTACGAGAAGCTTCTGCGAGTTGCCCTTCTTTACAAGGACAGACATGCTCTTACGGTCGCGGGAGAATTCGTAGGTTGCTAGGCGGGAATACTGGCTCTCGTAGTGCTTGGTGGCGAAATCGAGGCGTCCTTCAGGCGAGGTGCTGGCGCGCGTGGCATTGTGGGCAATGTCGGGAGTGCCAACCTTTTCTACTAGGACACGAAGGGCACCCTCAGTAGGCTCACCGACGAGGTTATACGTGCCATTCTTGGAGTCGTAGGCAAGGGCGGCATCGTTGCAAAGCGCCGTGACTTCACAGATCTGGCGGACAGTGTCGGATTGCGCCGCGAGGTTCTCGAGAGGATTGCCACGAAGTGAGATCTGGCCCTCGGGCGCAAAGCTAGTACCTTGGACGTCAAACTCTTCAAGGCCGCTGCCCTGTTCGTTGAGGAAGACCATCTTGTTGACGCTCATCTGGTTGGTGGTGAGGGTGCCAGTCTTGTCGGAGCAGATGACGCTGCAGCTGCCGAGAGTCTCGACAGAAGGCAAGCTCCGCACGACGGCGTTCCTCGCAGCCATCTTGCGCGTGCCCAGGGCCAAGCAGGTTGTGATGACGACGGCCAGACCCTCGGGGATGGCGGCGACACCGAGCGAGACGGCAATCTTGAGGTAGTAAATGGCGCCCTTGGTGAAGCTGCCATGCGAGGGGTCGTTGAAGTTGCGGATGTTGATGAGCCAGACGAGGATGCAGATGGCCGTGATGACCTTTGCGAGCTGGTCGCCGAAGTCGTTGAGCTTCTCCTTGAGGGGTGTGGGCTGCGAGATCTGTGCCGTGATGCTCTCATGGATGTCTCCAATTGCGGTGTTGGCGCCTGTCAGGACGACCAGCGCAGTCGCATGGCCCGTGACGACCGTGGTACCCGAGAAGAGCATGTTGACTTGGTCCTGCTTGACGGCGCTCTCATCTTTGACGGCCCGGGTGTCCTTGGACACGCTCTCGCTCTCTCCGGTCAAGATGGACTGGTCGATGTTGAAGCTGTTGCTCTGGATAGACAAGATCCTGCAGTCGGCGGGTATCCTGTCGCCGATTGTAACGGAGATGACATCTCCAGGGACCAGCTCGTCGGCCTTGACGCGTTTGACGTGGCCGTCGCGCACGACCTTGGCTTCGTTGGCGGAGTATTCTTGCAGAGCCGCAATGGCCTTTTCGGCGCTGGTTTCCTGCGATACTCCGACGACGGCGTTGAGGACGAGGATGGTGAGAATCTATGGGGCCTGTCAGCGCAGTGCAGGCAGAGTCTGGTCTAGTACGTACGACTGCCGGGTCGACGAAAGCGGTCCAGCCTTCATCCTCTTCAAAGAGGGCAAGTACGAACGACACTGCTGCCGAGCCTAGCAAGATGATGACCAGCTGGTCCTTGAACTGCTCCAGGATGAGCTCCCAGATGGGTGTCGGCGGGTCTTCTGGCAGCGCTGTCCCGCGTGTTAGTGGTGGGCGGCCTCTGCGACGGCGCTGACATACCGTTCTTGCCATGCTTCTCCCGTGCGCTCTGCACCTGCTGGGCGCTGAGGCCCTGTTGCTCCTCGACCTGGAACTGCCTCAGCGCCTCGGCAGGCGTCTTGGTGTACGCATTCTCCATGCCCACTGCTCTCGGTGCCGCGTCTGCGTCTCTCGGTGCTCTCGCTGTTGGATGGTCCGCGTGGCGCGGTGGTGGTGGTGGTCGCAGAGATAGTTCGGCTCGCGAAGTGTGTGGTCTTTGCCTATGACGTTGAGATGCACTGGGACAACGTCCGCCTTAGTACTGGGAGCGGCAAGGGAGGGACCGTGTTTCCTGGCACAAGCAGCGTCACAGGAGAAGAGGATGGAAGGTTCTGCGATTGTCCACGGCAGCAACGGCTGTACTGGCGGCGCAACAGCTCTTGTCTCGACTTCGGCGCGTCCCAAGAAATCTGTCCTCTAAAATCGACCCGCATGCGCCACAGCACTAGTCCGCTTGCAGCCTCTCCAGCCACCCTTCGCCCGCCAACACGTTTCGCGCACCTCGTTGCCATTCGCGCACCCGTCCGACTGCACCTCGAGCGGAATGTGGCTGGTGAGAGTCGCCGTTCGCAGCGACTCTGCAAGGCTTGGGGCGCGGCCAGATTCCGAGGCCAGGTGCCATGTTCGGCCATGCCCCGCGGCTCGAGCTCCCCACCTTGGACATCATGACTGCAGCTCACCGGGGCAAGACTGCCGTGCCTGCGGGTCGAGCTCGGCAATCCGCGTCTTAGCAGAGCTCACGTTGCCAGCACTGCAGTGTCACTCGCAAAGGAAGCAGCGAGTCGAATCATATGGTAAACGTTTCGTTGGATAGTAGCCCGCGTATGCTATTGCAGCCCATGTTCCAGGTCGTCCCGACATGCACAATTCATCAAAGGGTATTATGGCCTACCAAAGGTATCCCGCTCGCTAAACGCCGCAAAAAGCCTTCAAAGGCCCGGTCAAATGCTATCGTCATCATCATGTACCCAGTCCGATCCAGTCATGCCCGCTCTCTAGCATCACCACCTGTATCGTGTACGACTATAATCTATGTATCGTGAATAAACCCAGGCAGCCATAGCGCCGTGGGAGAAGTAGAAAGTGCAAGCTCATTGGCTTGCGCAGTATGTCCGAATCAATCGGGCAATGTCCCTGGTGATGAAGGGCTTGGTGACAAAGCCCTTCATTCCGCTCTTGACTGCTTTGTCCAGAGCGGCATCCGTAATGTCGGCGCTGACGGCCAGGATGGTCGGCTTTCGCACGAGCTCGGGCATCTTCAGAATCACCTCGGTAGCTTGGAAGCCGTCCAGCAGCGGCATCCACAGGTCCATG